AGTTTTGTCTTGTCCTTCAATTATTGTGTGTTATTAATATTAGAATAATATTATGAGTCCAATAATTTTGACATCATGGTTGACAGTCTTTTAACATACAAGAAATGAGACCCACAATTAAAGTAATCGCGAGTTCCATAATTGTGAGTGAGTTGTCAAAAAGAGTGTACACAGCGTTATTGTTGATATTATGCCAATTCCTTTTGTTTTATTAACTACTTTCAAGAAAGAAATGTGAAGGAGCGTTGAAAACCTAAATGAAATGAAAGATCTCATGAATTGCGTTTCTTGAGCTTGAAGAACGTGAATTATAAGCAAAAGCGTGATTTTCGAAGAAGGTGACTCACTCACGTGGTCAGACATGCTAAATTACACAATGAGAATTGATTACTAACTAATATTCATCGATATGTAAAATTCTAACTTAATTGCAATGCCTAACCGTTCTTTACGATGAAGTAAAGCAAATAAGTAAACGATGTATTAATCTAATGTGTTTGTTACATTGTAGTAATAAAATATTATCTATTATTCATTAAATGAATAGAGAGATTATTTATTCAATTATGCTACACATAGAAGGCCATGTGGCAATAGATTAGGAAAAATGAAACACAGCAAAGGAAATATATAGAAATAATCAATGAAGGTTTGAACACGAAATTAATCTCACTATCCTCAAACGTTATTTGCCTCCTTTCCAATGATTTTAAAGATTTTCGACAAATAGTTCGTAGGATTAAACAAGTTTTGATGAAGAACACCAAAAACAAACGTGTATCTTCACAATAAATAAGTGAAAAGAAATGGAATGATTCAATGATAATTTTCTCTCAATTTTGGAAGAATAATTTGGGGATAGATCTCAATTGAATTCAATATATTTTTCTTGCATTTGAATCATCTACTTATAGGAATTGGCAAGCTTCTATGAAATGGTGCAAAAATAAGGATGAAAAGCCACCAATTTTGAAAGAAAAAATGTCAAAAAACGACCCAACGGCCACATTTCGTCAACCATGCAACCGTATGGGCTATAGCCATGCGGTCGCATGGTTATAACCTTCCCGGCCCTCCCATTCTCGGGAGGGCCCCATGCAACTGCATGGGCTTAATCGATGCGGTCCCATGGTTAAGCCCATTTTTTTTAATTTGATTTTGGAATTTTGTTTGTTCAAAATCTATATTAGTCACATAATCAAATATCAACACTTATACATAAGAATTAGATATCTTTTGATTTAAATCTTTTCTAAATCTCATAAAGTATCATCAGAATTCCAAGTAGCTAGAGTGCTTTGAACCAATTATTCCCTGTGTCAACACCGATGAAATCACACGCACAAGTGTTAAACTTTTTACTAGTTCCTCTAACTCGCTTAGTGCTAATATGACCTTACACTAATCCTTTTTCATTGAACTTTTAAAGAGAGAAAAACTTCAACTCTCTATAGAAACGACACCACCTCGAAGTTCACATAGGTGAAGTTATTTCAATATCTTTGTTACTTTTACAGATACTTGTATTCCGTACTGAACTTTACTAAGGGTTTATTTTAACTCATCCCTCCAACAGTAACAACCGACACTATTTTTCAAAAATATGATTTTAATACATTTAATGGTGTTGAAATACATCCACTTATCGAATAACTTGTTGTTACCCATTGAACCTATATATACTAGTTTAGTATATTTTAGTGGGGTTGCCGTTATTGGTGGATCTATTTGAAGAGTTTTAATCCCATTTTACTTGATGTTGATCTCACTTAACTCTTTCTTGAGAGGTTTGGTAAATGGATCAGCTACGTTCTCACTAGATTTAACAAATGTAAGGGAAATTATTCCATGCTTGATTAATTTCCTTATATATTCGTGTCTTAGACTCATACATCTAGATTTTCCATTGTGTACTTCATTATATGCTCTAGCTAGAGTAGTTTGACTATCACACAAGATAGATATAGAAGAAATATTCTTTATAACTAAAGGAATTTCATATAATAAATCTCTTAGCCACTCAACTTCTTTTCGATTTCGACCAATGCTACAAATTCTAATATAGTTAATGAGTAATACAAATTTGTTTCTTATACTTCCAAGAAATTGCACCACCTTCAAGAGTGAATATTCAACTCGAAGTGAATTTATTCTCTCCCACACTCAATATCCAACTTGCATCGGGATATTCTTCTAAGATCTTAGGAAACTTTGTATATTGTAGCCCAAGGTTTTTGGTTTTCTTTAGGTAACCAAGAATTCTACCGATGGCCTTCCAATATTTTGAACTCGGGTTGCTAGTAAACCTACTTAGTTTACTTATAGTAAATGTCACATTAGGTCTTGTACATTGTAAGTCGTACAAGAGACTTCCAATTGTACTTGCGTATCATCATTTTTTATTAATTTGATATTTGGATCTACAGGAATATTAGCCTTTTTAATGTTCAAATGTTTGAATTTATTTATCACATTCTCAACATAATGTGATTGGCTTAATGTAAAACCCCCACTATCCCTTTTAACTTTGATACCAAGGATAGTGTCCACTTTTCCCAGATCCTTTATTTTAAAAGTAGAGGATAAAAACCATTTTATTTCTTTGATCCCATCTATATTATTGTTAATGATTAGCATATCATCAATATATAGACACACTAATGTGATTATATTATCATTCACTTTCGTATAGAGGCATCTACCGAATTGTGATTAAATTCATTTGACACTA